ACAACACAATACACACTCACAGGAAAAACACTGCCGTACAAACTTAGAAATCCACATAAAAAGGCAATCAACGTACACATAAAGAAATACAAATACAAAAAAATACAAACAAAATACCGAAAAATACGCTTGCTAAACTATTAGTGTTGGGGAAAGACATGGGCGCCGCGCCGACGCCGCGCCGCCGCCGCCGACAAAAGTACTCGGCGTGCCGCCGACGCCGCCGACGACTATTTTGTCGGCGGCGTCGCCGGCGGCGAGACAATTTTTGCCCTCGTTTTTGGTAAATTCAAGCAAAAAACCGCCTTATACGTAGGCAACCCACCTTCTTCAACTCCTCCTGTCCCAAAGTTCCTCATTTTCGCAATCAACTCTTCTTGGAAATACGGATAATTTACCATATAGAAAATATCAAACAAAGAAAACTTCATGAATATTGGTTTCAAACGTCATTAAATTGATCAATTTCTGTGGTGGCCGCCGACCACGCCGCCGCCGCCGCGCCGAGCATGTCGTCGGCGACGAATTTTGGCCGATACGCCGCCGCCGCCGAAAGTCCGGTCGGCGCCCACGTCTAGTTGGGGACCCCTCAAATTTTCCGAACTCTTCCCACGGTGAACGCGTACGCCATGACCCCTTACTCCCAGGCAACCCTGCGTAACGGCTGCACGGGGGCGCGCCTCGCGCCAAACCTGTGGCACAGCACCTCCAGGGCGAAGGCGAGCGCGCAGAGCACGCAGTGGCCCACGGCTAGGAGCACGAAGGCCGGCAGCAGGTGGGTGAGGCTGAGTGGCCGGGTCCTGGACGGGGCGGAGTGCCGAAGCGAGGACGGCGTCAGGCCCGCGCCCTCCGCCGCGCCGGGGGAGAAGGACTCCTGGATGCGGCTGTACAAGGTCCTCAGACGCCGTTGCAGCGGCGAGCCCGTCGACGTGGCGGCGTGGGACACGAGGTGGGCGGTCGACAGGGTGAACAAATTCAGCCGCTGGCGCTCCTTGAGCGGCATGTGCTCGATGCGCCTTTCCAGTGAGAAGGTCAGGTCGCATATCAGGGCGGCGTCCTGCGCGTCCAGGACCCGGCGGAGGACGTCGCGCACGCGATGGCGCGGGATGTAGTGGATCCGGTCCTTTCCCAGGACGGAGAGGTCCGCGGCGATGGAGCCGACGATCAGGTTCTCCGCCACATGCACCTCCAGGCCGCTCTGCTCGAGCTGCTCCAAGCTGTTGATCTCGGTCGGCGGGGCGGTGATCTCCCTGAGCAGCAGGCCCTGGTAGGCGGCCGCGAGCACGACGCTCATGAGCAGCCAGACGGAGGACAGGGGCCGGTGCGCGGGCCTGCCCGGGGGCGGCTGCGCCAGGAGCGGCGCCAGGGTCTCCAGGAGGGCGACGGCCAGGGCGGCCAGCCGCGGCCGCCCCAGGCACGCCGAGACCGCAGCGAGGGCCAGCGTCATAGCGAGAAAGGCCACCGCCGACGCGATCCACAGCTCCGCGGAGAACTCGGCCGTCACCGCCTGCAAGAGGGTGCCCCGCGGCCCGCGCCCTGCCGGGACCGTCACCACGATGCGGCTCCAGACCACCCACACCGAGCTGATGTGGTGGGCGGCGGCGGCGATGGGCACTGGTTCGTCGAGGATGAGCCCGCTCAGGTTGCAGTAGAACATGTTTAGGGAAACGTCACGCAGATCGTTTCCCCGGACATACTGCATCCGGACGCGCGGGCGAATTGTACTGATTGTACCTCTGTAGAAGTTGTCAAAGTTCTCGAGACCAGGGGAAGACTTCTCCACGTAGACGATGTGCGGGGAGCTCGGCGGCGTCCACCTGGTGCACAGCCTGGGGATCGGAGGGCCTCGGCGCCAGTACCGGGAGCCCGCCGGGCACGTGTCGACCTGGGGCATGTCCAGGGACGGCCACGTCGCGAGGCAGCCCTTAGGGACGCCGGTGTGCAGGGAGGTGGTGCCGTCGGGCAGGGTGACGGCCAGGATGAGCGGAACGTAGCAGAGCCACAGGGGCTCCTCGGAGGCCAGCCCCAGGACGTCCTGGGGAGTCGGCGCCCAGGTCCACATGAGGGTCTGCTCCGGCTGCCGGATGGCGTGCTCCGTCATGTACTCGAGGAGCTCGGCGGCGGTCGGCAGCACGGCCAGGACCAGGATGCGGCCCCGCGACATCTGGTTCCGGATGCGGGGGTCTGCGGGCGGGGTGCGGTTTACGACCCTGGGCGTCCCGGGGGCCAGCTCGTGCAGGTAGGGGGCGATCGGACCGACGTCGCCGGTCACGAGGAGGGTGGCGTTGGAGGGCGGCAGGAGGGCGGCCAGCAGGGCGGCCATGCAGCGCGCCTCGGGTGGGCTGGTGTCGGCGGCGAGAAGGGCCGCGGTGGCGCGCTCGCCCGCGGCGCAGCAGAGGACGCCGACGAGGCCGAGGAACAGCTGCATGGCGACAGACTGACCGGCCCAAGAACGTCGCCACTTTGCAAGAGCCTCCCCGCATTCATAAAAATAATTGAAAAATCAAACTCGATCGAAGCGCCGACCATTTGAAAGTCAGCAGTCTTTATATGAACCTTGGGCCAAAAGAGGCCTCGTGGTAAGTCAAGTCAAGTCTTTTCTTCGCCCCCTTTGGAAGTATTGGAAATGTTGTACAAGGCCGGCCCGACGCCCTATTTACGCGCCCCTGCGTAAGTAGGGCTTGATTGTCCGGGCGTAGGGTTGGAAGCGAGGGGTACCTCACTTCGAACAATCCCTGTACACTTTAAATATGTAATTTAAATCACTAACAATAGCAACTTAAATCCCCAAGAATCACAACAATCTTTTACAATCGCTACAACCAATTACAATCTTTTTCTCTCAAAATCGTAACAATCACTTAAAATCAATGTTAAATCAAAATAAGAGCCTTCTAGAACCAACATTAAATCGCAGCAATCAACTACAATCATTCATTAACTCATCACAATCCGTCGTTGAATCGATACAATAACAAAGAATCACTTTTTAGACCATCGCAAGCGAATCATGGATCATCCGACTCCTCAAATATCTCTGTCCTCAGTTGTAATTTCTACGACTGAATCTCTTATCCGGCGTCCAACAATCTTATATAAATCGTTTTAAATCAACGTCAATTGACCACAATCATTCTTAAATCATTTAAATCTTCCTTGAATCTCTCTTGAACCACTAAAATCCACACACAATCATGATTTAGTCACCGACAATCACCAACAACCATCATCAATCACTTCAATCATGTAGAATCATTACAATAATTTAAATCATCCTGAATCATTTTAAAATCACCTACAATCATTTACAATCAAATGTGATTTAAATCGCTGTACATCATTTTGAAGAGTGAGGTACCCCTCGGACTTACCTCATTTTCTTGGATACCCCCTTTCAGCCTTAGGGGTGGTTGCCAGGATTTGCCGTAGGCGTTTCGTTTTCTAGGAGTGAACCTTAAGAACTTGAAGTCTCTAGCACATCTCCTTCTAGTGGAACAGACAGACACACAGCCCGCTAGATAGTTTTACTAAAGCAGAAGGGCGGGCTAAAAAGAAGAGGGCCACACTGCATTTAATAAAGTCGTTCCGCTTCCTTTAGCATGGTTCATGGTTCAAGTGATAAAATGAACTGCGGAGTCCTCACTTTCAACGAAGTAAAGAGCAGTAAAAGGAAACCCAAACAGGCGTAAAGACAATCACTGTGCTAAAAATGCAACGTGTAAAGACCTTCTTCCGTGCTGTGCTGATGAGTTGATTGTTCTACAAGGTCGAACAACAATTGCTCTGGCTTGGGCGAATAGGTAGGTTGGCACGAAAGCCGAGTTTCCTGAGCACGAATGGCTGCCTGTCACGGTATTTTCCGTCTCAGTAATCTCGTCAGCAAGTAGCAAGCCTTGTGCCAGTCAACAGACCCAGCGCATCTTCTGTTATGCCCTCCCCAGTGAAACGGGTTCGTATGAAACATTCACCAAATGAGCAATATATACTTTTTCAGACCCCCCCCCCCCCAACAAAAAATAATAATAACACTTTTCGAGTGATTTATTGTGATAGGTTGTCCTCATCCGATTCATGCGAGGGGGCACCAACTCCGAAATTTCGTTCACTTGAATATAATCTAATAGTGAATATCACTGAATAATCACTGAATATCGCCTGAATACTGAAGGTATTTATTTCCTCGTGCACCGTGAATACTAGAAGTTACTGCCCCCTCAGATTTATGAGCCTTTGAAACCTACCTGTTTTCTACTCTACAGATGATGCTGTCCACGTTTGAGCATGAGTCGTTATTATACATTCTCGTTGGTTTGATTACAATTCGTAATGGAGGATGTGCTTTCAATCCAAAGACGGCAAGTAATTCCTTCCTATTACTCAGGTGTTTATTACACTTCGGATCAATAAAATGCACATACTTGAAGGTGTACTAAAATTTTCGGCGATTTTGTTTTATATGAGTTTTTATAGCCCACCCTTCCGCTTTGAAAAAGCAATAACGCGGGCTTACGCAACCAATCATCTCGATGATCAAAGAAAAAATGGGACGGCAGGGGAATGTCAGAACTATGAAACACAAATTTCATAGGGATACGGTCGGCAGTTTCTCATTAGAGTACTTACTAAAGGTCACTCCTGGACAACGAAACGACGTCGGCAAATGTTTGGAACCATCCTTAGAGGGGGTAAAAGGGGTTAATAAAGACAAAAACTATAAGTTCTTACAAAGTTCAGAAGTTTTGTATTGAATTTGAGCACTCTGGCACCTGGCACACCCCGCAAGGATGAATTTGAGCATTGACTGTCAGCATGACGTCAAAATTGCCCTATTTTATTGTCTTGCATAACTCTTGGAGTCATTTGGACCGTGACCGTGATTTGACATTTTGAGTCAAATCAGTGTCACGATGATATCAACAAGAGTCATGCAAGACGTCAAAGTAGGGGGCCATTTTGACGTTATGCTTACAGTCAGTGACAAAATTCCTGCTTACGACAAGGCCGGTAAAGAACATTATCTCCTAAAAAATTTCACTCTAAAAGAATCAGTACAAAATTCTGTAACATTGTTACGCAGTAACTTACACATCATATGTTACAGAAATTTGTACCAGATTTGATACAGATTTCATTCTGTAATATCGATACGGAAATCTGTATCACCTGATACAGAACCTCTTTGGGGTTTTAAAGTAGTAATTCTTCATTTTTTTCACTTTTCCTCCTTTTTCCCCTGATCTTTTTTTTCTGGGGAACTTTACTCCTTTGATTTTATTTGAAGGAATGTACCTAGCCCTACCGGGAGTTGAACCTCAGATCTCCGGATTAGAAAGTCGCGCCTTTACCCGCGCAGCCATCCCATCCGGGCTACCTGAGGAGAGGTCCGCTGGAACCAGGTGTAATGCTACTGGGGCTCCCGGACACCGTGCCAACCAAGTTCCATAATTCTGTATCCGGGGATACAGAAAATTGTATCCAACGTTACTTGATCTTGTATCTGTTACAGAAATTAGTAACATTTACGGAATTTTGTAACATTTTGATCAGGTTACAGAATTTTGTACCCATGTTACATGTTTCCATATCACGAGAGCCTGATACAGAAAGCTGTATCAAATTTGATACAGAATTCTGTATTATTAGCCCGCTCTTTGGCTTAAAAGCTATATAAGCGGGCTTATGCCATCGCCTCTGTGTTCGTCTGTCTGTCTGTCTGTCTATCTGTCTGTCCGTTTCCCAAGAAAGACGTGCGCTAGAGGTTTGAAATTTTCAGGGTATTATTGTTGTCACTTCTGCTCAACGAAACGGTTGGTGCAAATCCTGGCAACCACCCCTGAGTGGGTCTGAGGGGGTAACAAAGAAATAGGGGTTGGTCCAAGAAGTGGAATTTTTTTTTATGGCTCTGTAAGGGGTAACTCGTGAAAGTAGAGCCCTTTGGGCGAAAATTTCGTCCGTTTGGCTCTATCTCTCACCGTTAAGGCGCTACAGCGAGTTTCTCTCACGAAAGTGGCCCAAAAATAAATGTATAAATTTTAGAAAATATTTGATGGTCTCTTAAGGGGTAACTTGTGAAAGTAGAGCCCTTCGGGCTAAAATTTTGTCCGTTTGGCTCTTCCTCTCACCGTTTACGCGCTAGAGGGAGTTTTACCCACAAAAGTGGCTTAAAAATAAGTATATTAATTTTAGAAAACAGTTTTTTAGTCGGTTCAAAATTTTCTTCTAAGCAGAAGAGTGGGCTTATTTTATGGTGGGACATCATTAATAAAACGTGTACACTTCCATGCAAAAAAGAAAAAAAACAAAAAAAACAACACATTTATTTGTTGTTTGAACACGTTCGGAGTCATTCAGAGTATTCCTGGAAGTATATTTAACTTCTTCTAGGGCTAGTCTTTTGTATTTTTTCATAGGTGTGTTATTTGATTCATAAGCTAACATCAAAAACTTAGAAGGGATTTGGCATAACTTGCATGTATTCTACAAACTGGACAGAAAAGGTACCTGGCAAAAAGATGGTCCAAAGCGAGCCGTCACTCCAACGGGCCGAAGGCCCGTTTTCGGATAGAAAATGTATTACACCATGAAAATTCAGAAGGGACGGGCCGAAGGCCCGTCCCAAACGCCGCCGGCAGGCCAAGCTGGGCCCGCTCCCTGCCGAACCGAGTTGCCGGTGGAGCGAAGCGGAGCTAGCAACTTGGTTTGGCGGAAGAGCGGGCCCAGCTTGTTTTTTAGAGTTAAGAAGTGGATAACTTAGCCTCACTGAGCTGAGCAATCAATTTTTCACACTGGTTTTGTACTATTTTGACTTGAGTTGCAGTTCCATTTGTTTCTTTATGGCCTTTCCTATGATCCAAAAATATACTAAAAGTTACGGTGGTTAAAATTCTATAAAATTAAAGGAGAAAACATAGATGGACACATTCACAGTAATTAAACAATTTTAATGTGGAGGGGTAACTCGTAAAGTTCCGTTTTGCGGCATCTCCCGCTGCTAATGCACCAACCGAAATAAGCGATATTAAAGACTATCCCGGCCAAGCCAAGCGCCAGAAATGATAGGCACGGATAGCGCTGGTCGAATCTCAGCCTTATGTCTTTTAGATCAAGCGAGTCTTACTATTCTTTTTCAACTGAAATGCTTATGTACACTCGTGAGCAAAATTAAAGCCCCACTTTTTTGACAGGGCGTAATTTCGAAGTGTGATTAGGTAGGAGGTTGCCGTTTGGCAGGAGGATAGGCTTTTATGTTTGCATCAGACCCCTGAAAGCGCAAACCTTGATCACGAACGGTTCGCGAGCTGTGGGGCCTAACGCATCGCGACACCCCACTTCGCAGTGTGGTTAGGAAACAGAGGTTGC